CCTACGAAAGTTTGCGCTCGCATGACTTCGGTTATAGGTATAGACTGGACCGCATCTCAAGTTATCTTTTACAGATTCAGACTAACACGGCTACCCCTCTGATACTCTTTCTTTCTGTGCATCCCAAACACCCCTCTGTCTGTGCATCCCATAAACCGCTCTCTGTGTATCCCATATACTGCTCTGTCTGTCTGTGCATCCCATACACCCTCTGTCCGTCTTTAAATCCCTACAACCTGTCCCTGTCTGTGCATCGAATACACCCCTCTGTCTGAGCATCCCATACACCCCTCTGTCTGTGCATAACAAACACGCTTTGTCTGGCTGTGCATCCCATACTCCTTCTGACTGTCTGTGCATCCCATACACCCTCTGTTTGTCTTTACATCCCAAACACCCCTCTGTCTTTCTGTGTATGCCATACACTCCATCTGTGTCTGTCTGTGCATCCCATACATGCCCACTGTCTGTCTGTGCAGCACAACCACCACTCTGTCCATCTGTACATCACATCCACAGTTCTGTCTGTCTGTGCATCCCATGTACCCCTCTGTTTTTTCATCTGTGCATCCATACACCCCTCTGTATGTCTGTGCATCCCATACACACTCTCTCTCTGTGTCTGTGCATCCAATACACCCTCTGTCTGTCTGTGCATCCCATACATCCTCTTCCTGTCTCTACATCCCATACACCCTGTGTGTGTCTTTGCATCCCAAACACCCCTCTGTCGGTTTGTGCATCCCTTACACCCCTGTGTTTGTCTGTGCATCCGAAACATCCCTCTGTCTGTCTGTGCATCCCATATACCCTTTGTCTATCTGTGCATCCCAAACACCCCCATGTCTGTCTATGCATCATATGCAATACTCTGTCCATCTGTGCATCCCTTACACCTTCTTTCTGTCTGTCTGTGCATGCCTGTATCCCTCTGTCTTTCCTTCTGTGCATCCCATACACCCTCTGCCTATCTGTGCATCCCATACACTCCTTTCTGTGTGTTCATCCCAAACACCCTGCTGTCTATGCATCCCATACACTCCTCTGTCTGACTGTGCATCCGAAACACGCCTGTGTCTCTCTGTGCATCCCATGCACCCTCTGCCTGTCTGTGCAACCTATATTCACCCTTGTGTCTGTCTGTCCATCCCACAGATCCTCAGCCTGCATTGATATCATGCTCTGCCCATGCAAGGGTTGAGAATCATGGCCCCAAACACCGCCCTGCACAGCAGATTTATTCTATCCATGGCCCCTGGGCCCCATGTGCCGTCAAAACTCTGCAGCCACTCCAGCACAAAGGATTGTCTAGCGTCCGGCCTTGCTGAGGCCCTTCTTGAAATCTGGGCACTTTGACGTTGCCAATGGGCCATGCAGTGGGGCTGGGCGGGAACCAGAATTTCCCTTCCGTGGGGAATTCTGACAGGCTGAATAATGTTTCTGTTCTAAATTGGCATGACTCCCCCTGTTTCTGCCCCAAAATTCCCATGAAATGAAAATTCTGCAAAATCTCGATCTTTGTTTTACTCATCATTTCTTTTCTATACAAATGCCTGTAGCTGGGGAGGTAAACTGGTTCATTTCAACCGTATTGTTTCAATTCATTTTGTTTAGCGTGACCTATTGTATATTAAATTGACTATTATATAATATTGTTACGTTTATTATTATTTGTATACTATGGTCTATATTATATTATATTGACTAATATATAGTGCATATTACATTTATTATTATATTAAATGCTAAATAGGCTCAGAAGGATTTGATTTGTATCTGTAAATGTCAGTAAACATCGATTTTACCAAACTGATAAAAAAATATTTCCCTCGATGATACTGGAAATTTGCAGATAGGCAAAATAAGAATACTGCTGCTTGGGAACTTCTTAGAGTTATTTAAACATGCTTACTTTGTATGTTTTGCCATGTGATGTGAACAGTTTGTGTTACCAGTTATAAAGTGGTCACTTGTTATATCTCAGCGCCTACTGTCATTAAATAGTTATCTGACCCTGTCCCCAATAATTTCCCACCGCTGTGAAAATTCAAATAAATAAAAATGGGGGGAAATGTTTAAACCCATGATCTGGCACAACTGTGGAAAGTTAAATCGATAAAAACTGGGGGAAAAATGCTTAAAAGGAACTTTGATTTCATCCATCGAAATTATAAAAAAAAATTGAATTCTCCCAAGCCTATATAATTATTATTTTATAATATATATTGTATTCATTAATCTGTATATGATATACATTATTAAATATTGTGCATTATATGGAATATTAAATAATATATATTTTATTTCAAACTTTAATGGGATAAAAGTCACAGTGAAATTAATTGTAAGGACCCATTTCCAAGGCAGTATTTTGCCCTTATTGAACTGAAATGAGTCCCTTTGACTTTTCCCCTGTAAAATGTTGTCAAAAGTGGACATGTTCCTGCAAAATATTTCAGTTATGATTAAACTGCTCTTTTCTATGAAAAAGGCGCCCATCCCCACAAACTTCCCACCCACTCTTCTGCTCAGGCCACTGATTCCTTTCTGCTCCTTTGAAACGTGCAGCCTATAGTCCCAGACGTGCTGCCTGCCCAGCAAGATGTCCAGCATCCCCCGGCATGTAAGTGGACTGCAGGGTTTGACCCCCAGGCTTTCATCGCTTGTAGCAGGAGCCTCAATTGTTGGAGCTGAAGGAGTAGCTCCTCCAGGTGGTGGCAGTAGCAGGCTATTATCCTATTCCATGGAGCAGAGCCCAAAGGGGGACACGCCCAGTGTTTGTGTGGGCTCCCCGTGCAGCAGTTTTCCCTCGTGGGATAAACCACCCTCCTGGTTCCCACTGACACAAGAAGGGGGTCTTCGGGTGAGCAGCTATTCCCCTTCTCATCCCTTGTCTCCTTGGTTTCCCCGTAGTCCATTGGCTCCTGTCCAGCCCTGAGGCCAGGAAGAGCCGCCCTGCCAGATGCTGGGATCCTGTCACCCACACTCCAGCGCTGCCCTGCTCTCAGCCGTCCTCCTCCTGCACGTTCAGACTGCAGTGGCTGGTAAGGAGGCTCTGTCCTTAATGGTGCTGGGTGGTCATGGGGCCCCAGCCGGCTCTCACGTACAGCGGGAACAGTCTGGGGTGACTGCCCTTATAATGCACTGGGCTCAGGGGTGAGAGCGCAGGATCTAGCGCTCACTCATACGCACAGTAACGTGTGACAAATGGAGTCACTGTCCATCCCTCCATCCATCCCCCCACATCCATCCCCATACACACCCCTCCATTCATCCATCCACCCATCCATCCCCATACACACCCCTCCGTCCATCCCCATATATACCCCTCTATCCACCCACATCCATTCCCATACTCATCTCTCCAACCATCCACCCATATCCATACACACTCCTCCACCATTCCCATACACACCCCTGTAGCCATCCACCCACATCCATCCATCCATTTCCCCACATCCATCTCCATACACACCCCTCATCCATCCACCCACATCCATACACACTCCTCCATCCATCCCCATACACACACTTCCTCCCTCCCTCCATCCATCCCCATATTCACCCCTCTATCCCTGCACCCATCCCCCCCATAACCATCCCCATACATACCCCTCCGTCCATCCATCCATCCACACATGCCTCCTTCCTTTCCCATACACACACCCCTCCACCCTGGCCTCCACATACACACCATCCCTCCCTCCCTGCCTCCTTCCCCCCCACTCTACCCCTCCCCCTCCTGCTCACAGCTCTCCCTGAGCCCCTCTCTCCAGGATCCGCTGGGGTGGTGGGGCTGGGGGATGGGTTGTGTGAGAGGCGAAGCCGCTTCCCCCCACTCCCCTCTGACCCCAGGCTTGTCTCTCTGCCCTTTTCCCCAGTGAGTTTCCAGGTGCTGGTTCCCACCAGCCCCCTCTCCGCCCCGCTGGGGGGCACTGTGCTGCTGCCCTGCCACCTCTCCCCCGCGCTCAGTGCCCAGGCTATGCAGGTGAAATGGAGCCAGCCCCAGCTAGGCCAGGATGTCCACGTGTACCTGCCGGACGGGAGCGAGGTGCAGGGTGAGAGGTACCGGGGCAGGACGGAGCTCCTGCGGGACGGGATCCAGAGCGGCAGCCTGGCCCTGCGGATCTGGAACCTCACCCTGCGGGACGAAGGGCGCTACCTCTGTGACTTCCAGTCCGACACCTACTTCAGTGATGCCGCGTTGGAGCTCCGCCTGACGAGTGAGTGATCCTGGGGTGGGGAGAGGCCGGATTCAGCCTGGGGCGGGGGGAGATGGCCGAGGGGGGGGACCTCCCCATGCAGCCTGCTGCAGTCACAGGCCAGAAAACCTCCCCCAGTGACACCTTCGTCCAGCCCAGCTCTCCTGGTCAGCCAGAGCAGAGCCTGTGGGGCAGAGATGTCCAGGCTGCATGTAAGGACCCTGAGGGACGTGGGCTCCCCAGCAGCCTGACAGAGCCTCCTTCCATAGAGGATGCCCCGCAATGGCAGATATGTGCCCCCTATTTCCAGTGTGGATGTCTCAGGTCCAGTGCCCAGCCATCAGCTCTCCCTCTCCCTGTGTCTGAGGAGCCTTCTACCCTCAGAATCTCTTCCCTGGGTAGAGCCCAGCAAGAGAAGTGTTGTAAGCCATGGGAGGTAACAGTCCCGTTCTCTGTGGCGCTGGTGAGGCATCAGCTGCAGGCCTGTGTCCAGTTCAGGGGGCCGCAAAACCATGGACAAGCTGGGGAGAGACCAGAGGAGAGCAACAAAACAATCAAAGATTTAGAAAACCAGCCCAAGGAGGAAAGGTTGAAAGAACGGGGCATGTCTGGTCTTCAGAAGAGAAGACTGAGGGGGGACCTGATAACAGCCTTCAGATACATGAAGGGCTGTTACAAAGAGGACGGGGATCATGTGTTCGCCATGGCCACTGAAGGTAGGACAAGAAGTAACGGGCTTAATCTGCAGCAAGGGAGATTGAAGAGAGATATTAGGGAAAACTTTGTAACTGTAAGGGGAGTTAAGCTCTGAACCAGGCTCCAAGGGAGGTTGTGGAAACCCCGTCACTGGAGAGTTGTAAGAACAGGTTGGACAAACACCTGTCAGGGATGGTCTAGGTTTGCTTGATTCTGCCTCAGCGCAGGGGCTGGACATAATGACCTCTCAAGATACCGTCCAGCCCGACATTTCTGTGACTCTAAGTCTTCTCTTGGGTAAACTAACCTACACGGGTGAGCGAGAGGGGAACCAAGCCCTGGTGTGACCAGCAGGAATGAGGAGAGCATGAAATCAAGGGCGAATTCCTGTTGATTTGTTTCCCCCAGGCTCTGGTTCGGATCCCCTCCTCCACGTCGGTTTGTATGAGGACAAGGGGGTCTCGGTCACATGTCTATCTGCAGGGTGGTACCCGGAGCCCAATGTGCTCTGGAGAAACAGCCATAAAAAAATCCTGAGTCCAGAGTCCGAACAGAAACTGCAAAGTGACGACGGCTTATTCAACGTCTCCAGCACCGTGGTGATGACCGAGAGCTCGGATCCAGCACTGACCTGCACCCTCAGCCCTGGCTCGCCCGACCCAGAGAAAGTATCGGCCATTTTCATCTCCGGTGAGCTGCTGATGGAACAAGGAAACACAGAGCTGGAGCCAGATCTCCAGTGGTGGAGAATGGCATTTATAGATAGTGACAACTTTATGGCAGGGGCAATCTCTTACTGTATGTCTGTGCAGCGCCAGGCGCAGCAGACCTTGATCTCGGTCACTGTGTGTCTGTGCAGTGCCTGGAAAATGGGGCCCTGATCTCGGTCACTGTGTGTCTGTGCAGTGCCTGGAAAATGGGGCCCTGATCTTGGTCACTGTGTGTCTGTGCAGCGCCAGGCGTGACAGGGCCCTGACCGCGGTCACTGTGTGTCTGTGCAAC